ACTAGAATGCACCTCCATTACTCGACATTATAACCAACTGGTTCATTTGAACATATTTCCCACACTAAGAGATAGAGAAAAAAGTCAGAGTGGGAAAAACGACGACTAGAAAGACAACAACAACAACTTTTATTAGACAAAATACGTGCTATATTATATTTGTTAATCCTCAGAAATTCAAGCCACAAATAAAACAAACATGATCGGTTACAGGATATCGATATTCCTTGAGAAATTAAGCCGTAAATAACCGAATCAAAATTGTTCAATAGGATCATGGTGTCTGTATATGCATAAACCACGATTTATCGACCAACAAAGAGGTTTATCTGTCGTAACACTTCTCATTTTTGTTAGGTATTGATTGGGGTTCCACTGGAAGATACTTTGTAGGTCTATGTACTCTCCGTCTATGATAGTCTTCTAAATTTAAAACAATTAGTTCCCTTTATGAATTTAGACAAAGCAAAAGGAAGACGTAATTTGATTGAATTTTTTAGATTTTCCCGTCAATTGATTGGACCGAAGTGCTCGGTTGACATGTCGGCACTGGATTCGAGTCTGTCTGTCTGGATTCAACATAGAACTTGGCACCGAAGTGCACCAGTTCGAGTTGCCACGTTCCAAATAGCACACAAAGTTAGACAAGAAGATAAGTGAAGAGAATCAATACAGTCTGACAAGTATAAGAGTGAAACAGAATGGGTAATGGTAGAAAGGAATATGAAAGATTACAGAGACTGAATACATCTGCGCCATTGACAACGATTTTGAGCCATGTCACCTATTGTCTCCAGCCATTGATTCCTAGAGTCCCGAGGGCCCCAACCCGGGAGTCTGCATCTCTCCCTACCTGACTCAGTTTAACTGTCAAGGATTTCATGGATTGATGAGGCCATGTTTTTGTTTGGCCACCACTTACTCTTTTCCAACCTGAACCTATATCAGCTAGCAATGCCCGTCGGGGGAGGCGGTGGTTAGGCATGCGCACCACGTGACCTAGCCATCTCAATCTATGTAACTTTATAGCCTCGTCGATTGATTTTCCCTCTTTGCCCAACACTCTACGCCTAACGTCAACATTACTTACCTTATTAAACCACCTAACGTGAGACAGAGATCGCAGACATCTATGATCGAAAACAGTCAACCTTTTCATGTCTTCAACTCGTATTGGCCATGTTTCAGAGCCATAGAGAAGGACGGAGCGAACTGCTGAGCAGTACACACGTCCCTTGGTTGATAGCCGGATGTCACGCCTACGCCAGAGATGGTGTAAGTCAGCGAAAGCAGCTCGAGCTTTTTGGATCCGTGCTGAGATTTCGTCGCCAATCAGTCCGTTGGTGCTAATACAACTTCCCAAGTAGGTGAAGTGGTCAACATGTTCTATCACTTCACTGCCTATCACTAAGTTAGGAGTTGACGTGGTCCAGTCCTGTAGCAGCATCTTACATTTTGTAGGGGCGAATCGCATGCCAAACATACGAAGATTGCTGCTCAAGGTGTTCAGAAGACTCTGCATTTTGTCAGAATCCTCCCCTAACAGGACTATGTCATCTGCATATTCTAAGTCCATAAGACTATTCCCTGGTAACAAGTCGATTCCTAAGTCGTTACGTTCAGTTAAGGATACTTCCATCAGCATGTCTATGATGAAGTTAAACAGAAATGGGGAAAGTGGACATCCCTGTCGGACACCACTGGTTGTTACCAATTCAGATGACAATTCCCCATAAGCCCTTACACGACTACGTGAGTTTGAATAGAGTGCCTTGATTAGTGCAATGTACTTTCTTGGCACTCCCTTCACAGTCAGACATTGCCATAGGATTCGAGTCTCGGTGGGAACGTCATCACTCACTGGAAAATGCGGGTACATCCAGGTGACGAGTCCCAAATAGAACGAAATGCGCCTCCTGTATTCCACTGCTAGTCACCATCTACAAATTAAATTCTAATTGAATACGTAATTTGTCTGAAGCGTTTAATGTGTTTGCGCATACATTTCGAACAATGTGTTCACACACGCGGGCTTGTCATAGGAATGTATACGAAATTAATAAAGAGTTAAGAGGTGAGAAAATAGACTTAGGCCAAGTTAAAAGGACATTTTGAAGGTCATAATAATATCGAAGATTACTAAACCAAACAACGGAGGTAATAGTACATATGCTATGGTATCAAAACAAAGTTTACCAAGGAAGATCTAGTGTGATGACAAATTGTTTTTGAACGCATAAAGGTAGTTTAAATTTTATAATTGCCAGCTAGGGTTTCCACAAACTTTAGGATATGCGCCAAACACGTTTTATAGATAGGTTTAAAAGATGTGTTAACGTCAATTTTATGTCCTGTCTCTATAATATGTTTCGCACTAGAGGAACTAGGTCTCCTGTTCTCACCATTAATGGGTTCTGAAGATTGTATTTTTGCTGGAGCCATTTAGAAATATCTTCTGAAGCCCTTACTTGCAGAGGTCGACGAGTCCTCCCTATGTGTGTGTGTGTGCCCACACGTACGTTCAAATTAGTAAATACAGTGGGATGTGACATCATTTTTCGCATGTTCGAAGGGCTTAGATGGATATATTGGCTTCACATTCTCAATTGTTATGATATTAGCTGCATAAAAAGTCTTTTTAACAACAGCGTTCAATCTTTGTCTAGTTATCAAGCTGTTTTGATACACTCCACATAGGGTATCTTAATGTGCACGTCTTTCTTAGCGGCTAGTTGGAGAGTAAGTCTTGGTGTTCTGATTACTTTATATCTCCTGATGAACTTGTTTGGATAATTGTTATCAACCAGAGTTTGTGTCAACTTTCTTTCTTCGTCATTAAGTGTGTCTTCCTTGAGTGCATATTCGTTGGATTCCACTGAAGAGGCACCTTACTAAGGCTCTTTTGTACCGAACAGGGTAGAAACTGGGATAATTAAGATACTGTCCTGTCCAGGTAGCTTTTCTATGAATAAATCTTTTTATTGATTCACCGGGCCGTCGACTTAGCAATATGTCTAGGAAAGATAAGCAGTTATCTTCCTCTTCTACAGATGTAAGTGATATACTTTCTGAACTTCATTCATTCGATTTAAAATTGAGGTGGCAGAACAAAACTTATCACTGATGAATACAATGTCATCTACATGCCTTCTATAAAGTGGCACATCTTTGATTAAGTCTTCCGATAAACTCTCAATGTACGACATATAGATATTTGCTAAAGTGGGTCCTAATGGACTTCCCATAGCACCACCATCAACCTGGCGGAAACAATCACCTTCAAATGTAAACCTAACATTGCCAGTACATAGAAGTCCTAAATCCCTTAAATAAGATATAGGGAACGGGATGAAAAAAAAGTGTGTGGAAATGTAATCACACAGAATGTCAACTGTTTTGAGCAAATTAGTGAATAAAGAGTTTTCATCAAATGAGTACATATTCTTTATCATAATATTAATATAATATGGATTTGCGGTATAGTTTGAATGTGATCCTTTTGTCTTATATGTGACTTGGTTACTACTATTATAAAATATCCCCATAGTAAAATTTAGAACAACACATTTATTATTATTATTGCTCCCTTGGGTTCCTAGTGGAACATAGGGCTTCAACTGCACGTCTCCATTTTCCTCTGTCCTCTGCTGTACTTTTCGCCTGCATCCATGTTAGTCCATACTGTTTCAACTCCTCTTCACACGATCTCCTCCATGTCACCCTTGCACCAACGTCCCACACGCCGCTTCCCTTTCGGGTTCTACTCGAGCAATGGCTTGACGCGCGATGTCACCCAGCGGTCTCCTCAGCGAGTGTCCGATCCATCTCCACTTTCTCCTGCATATTTGTTGGTTGGCGATTGGTTCTTGCTTTGTTTGTTCCCATAATTCCTTGTTGGTGATTCTTTTCGGCCATCTGATCTTCAGTATAGAGCGGAGACAGTTGTTAATAAAGGTCTGCAACCTTTTGGAAATATTCTTTGTGATCCGCCAAGTTTCTGATCCGTATAGAAGAACTGACTATACGTTTGTATTGAAAATCCGAATTTTGTTGGTGATGCTGAGTGACGAAGATTTCCAGATTGATTTCAGGTTGATAAATGTGTTTCTCGCCTTCCCGATTCTCGATTTGACATCCTCGTCCGCTCCTCCTGTAGTTGAGACAATACTCCTTAGATAAGTGAATGAAGTAACCTCTTTAAAATCCCTCCCATTGATGGTGATTGACATTGGATGTTGTTGTTGGTTGGTTATTTTCATAACCTCCGTCTTAGAACAACACATTTAAGCGAACAATATTGTGCTTCCAATTAGATCACATCAGGCTTAACTCTAATATACATAACTTTACAAATAAAAATTTAGATATAAACCAATCATGGTGTTTTTTCAGTAGGATCATAAGATTGTGCATATAAATTGTGCAGTATGTCATAATAATAATAATAATGATAATGATGACAATAATAATAATGGTTCTATCAACAAAAAAGATGAAAAAGTGAGGCGATTTGTGATAACAAGAGTAACGAAAAACAGCATGATTAAACAACAATAGTCTTCAGGTAGAAGTAATCGATAAAGGCTAAGAAAAATAAATGAACCGATTAAGTAATGTTAGATTGTAAGGGAAGTACATGAAACACGTCTCTAATGAAGATGGCTTAATGGTATACGAGCTCACCTTGTAACCAGAAGATCCTGGGTTTGAATCCCGGTGGGTGCGTACTGATGAAGAGTCCCAAACTAGGCTGACGAAACAGCTGTCCAGTACTCCCTGCAGGTTTGCCAATGGTTCTGTAACCAATACCAGCTCATGACGAAATCCTGTAACCAATCAAATTCCTACAAACCAGCACTTGAAAACAATATTGTTGGCTTAAATATGTTGTTCTAAATATTGCTATTATTATAACTATTATTGTAACCTTCTCCCATTAAGACTACTGCTGGTCTTATTTATTTTTTTCTATTTTATGTTATCTGAATAATTTCAAATAGTCCCAGATAATTGTTCAAGTGAAGAGTTGTTAGCAGCCTATTTATCCTCTTGTTATCAATATAAAGTTGCGCCTATTGAATTTCTATTGGAACAATTAAAGGTAAGTAAGTGTATTGGGAGTGTGTGTGTGTATATGCGGGTTGGGGTTAATGAGGTTTCTTCTTCTCTCTCTTTCTATACACATTTTCAGATGTTTTGTAGTATCTTAGCGTAGATTATGCATACATATGTTTGCAACACTCGATTGGATACTTCTTTAATGGACAAAGAGTTTTGAAATGTTACTCTCTCTCCTCAGTTACACTGAAGTCAAGTCAGTGCTTCTAGATGATTCGCGATTTAACGTGTTGTAAAAATCACTTTTCTAACAGCCCACTACGGACTTTCATCACCACCTGTCTTCGATTGGAAAGAATAAGCAACAAGGAGTCCTGGGAGCCGCCAACCAGTCAACCAACCTGTGGCTTAACAAATGGGCATAAAGTGATGAAGATAGATTGGGCATTGTTGTGTGACATGAAGCATCAGGACATGAAGAGTGGAAACCAAATGGGTAATGACGAGTTGGTCATAGGTTTGAGGGTCGACATGGTGGAGATAGTGTGAGAGGGAAGTTAAAGCTTATGGTCATTTATGGAATCAGGCAAAAGGACTGTAGATGACAGGATATGATGTAGATGTGTTGCTGAGGCTCCTATATTTCACTGCTGAAGAGCCCCAAAGTAGGCTTACGAGACAACTGTCCAGCACTCCCAGGTTTTCCAATGGTCCTCTAACCGATATCAGTTCATGATGGAATCGTGAAATCGAACAAATCCCTGCAAACCAATACCAGTGCTTTTGTCAGGCTTATTTAGCACCATCTTGATATGTGATGTTAGCTACATTCATAGTCGGCGGAGTGGTGTCATACTGGTCATATCAAGATGTATGTCATCTAGTTGCAATATTGTTTATTACCCTTAAAAATAGGTACGTTTTCGTGCGGGGGTGGGGTGGGGGCTACAAGTTATTGTAAAATTCTAATGACTAGTGACAGTGCTTCGTGGTATATCAGATCGATATCAGTAGCATAAATATATGTTTACTCATTTTACTTTGAAAATAATCATTATTATTGCTACTTGTCCTATTTATTTGTTTGTGTAAGAGAAAAGATGTTCAACGAAAGGTTGTTCTTTTCAGCGGTGTCATTCCCACGCCGTGCAATCGCATATACGTATGTGTGTGTGTGGTAAACTTTCTTAACAGCAAAGGGAATATTTCATTGGAATGGTAAGCCCGTTTTTTGGTAATAAATTACGTAATATAAAAAAGTGCTAATCAGGTGGAAACAAAGACAAAATTAAATAAGCAAATTAAGTGACGTAATATGATCGACAGCATTGAATAGAATTCAACTGGAATTGAACGAGAGTCAGGTTAACAACATTGTTAATAAGGGATAGAAATTTTATCAAGGGTGAAGGGAGGAGAGAATACTATTAAGAGACGGAAACAAAAAGAGCTACATATCCGGTGCTAAGACAGATTTAGTGACTCAACAACCTTCTGTATGCATAGTTCGGGAATTATCATTGCTTCTGCGGTTTGAAGAAGTTTGATTCGTCTTCTTGTAGGGAGAATCCCTCCTATTCTGTAGATGATTTTAAAGTCCGTTTGTGGGCTAGCGTGATGTCCAGAATCTATGAGGTGTTCCAGGGTAGAGCTGCGGGGGGATCTCTTCTCTCCTTCATAAAACCAAGGGGTTACGTATCCGTTGAGACGCAAACGACAGACATAGGCGGCTCCATAGGAGCAGGTGAATTGATAGATACACACTGAAGAGACCAACAGTGGTAGCTCGCGCAAAGTTAGTTTAGCGTCGTCTGGGAAGACGTTCTTCAGTGAGCGCGGCAGGCGGTTTCTCATTATTTTTGCCGATTAGTTTGCATTAAATTGCAGATTCAGGTGGAGAAATCTCTTAAGAGCAAATAGTGGGGGTGGATTTAGTGGTTTTGGCTTCATGGATTTTCTTATGAAACCTTCGGGGCTTCAGCTTCGTAATTTGTCATCTAATACAAGTTTACAATCCCAATGACACATCTCTGGAAATATTCCCTTTGTTGCTGAGACAATCTACCATGTAGATATGCGATTGTACAGCTTTAGAATGATATCTCTGAAAAGAGTAACTCTTCTTTTACATGACTAAATGGAGATTTTTCAATTTGTTTCTGACTGTTTTGTATTTTGAAAACATTCCCCTGAAAAGTGATGCATCACCGTATTTAATTGTATGTTGCCCTGTTCTGCATTCATTTAGTCTGCCTTGGGTACACAGCCCACTTCAATTTGGATAACCGAGTAGGAAGTGTCATAAATTCATATTTCAAGGTGACTGTGTAGTCTAATATCTATTCTGAATAATAGGAGAGGTATATTGTTGCCTGTTTCAGCTAGTTGGAACTTAATTACCCACAATCGATTTTTCATTTACCAGGCCACAATTATTGTATAGGGGCTGAGGATATTACCCATTTGCCTGAGTTAAATGAGTGAAGTAGTAGGGTTCGAAATTCGGGACCCATTGGCCAATGAGCCACATTTCTCCTGTTGCCCGTGTATACCACTCCAAATAAAACGGTGGACTGAATAAAGGAAAGTCCTTGGAAAGAAAAAATACAATTTTATGACACAGGAAACTGAAGCGGAATAAAATCCAGGTAAGAGGGACCTCAGAGCACTACATCAGATAACCAGGTGGCTACTCTGGAAGAGACCAACACAGGTGAAACCAAAGGGAATCTAGTTGCTATGGTGGAAAAGCCAAGGAAACAATGGGCTAACCACTTTTTATAGGGCTGTTGAATCGACCACCACCACCTGAAACCCGGTCAGGAACACCATCAACAGCCAAAGAACTGCCAGTGAACACCAATCCTCCGATGAAAGCAGACGTCTTGTAGGCCAGAAGTTATTGAAAGCCGACCCGGAAGACAACAGGACGAGATGGAATTCTTCCAGAAGCATTGTGAAGAGATCCAACGTTTATGGCAGATATGCTGATGGTACTTTTGTAAAAAAATTCAGAATGAAGGAAAGCTACTCACCCATTTGAAGAAAGGCAACTACCTTCGCAAACTGTCAAAGAAGGGTAACTTTAGCCCTTGCAAAGACTACCGCGAAATCATGCTCTTGTCCACGTGTCAAGTGACAGGACTGATCTCGAAATAATTTGGGAATTGATTCAACAATACCAGGGTGCAGAGTCACAAACATTTATAAGCTCCAATTAACAGTTATATGATGACGCCGCTAACCAAGTGATTCACAACAGAAGATAGGAGTAAGACAAGTCTGCTTGCTATCACTGATGATATTCCTGACTGTGATGGACTGAAGATCGTGTAAGGAGGAAATAAAAGCTTATAGTCAATTGTGAAACATGCTAAAAAGGACTGTGGAGAGCAGAGTGAAATGGAGATGTGTGTTGCTCGGATCCCAGGAGAATAAATAAATAAAAGTAACGATAACAGATCAGTAGTTCAACAGCATTTAATCTGATAATACTAAAATGTATGTATGTATATTAATTGCCTACTTATCAATAAAAGTACTTAATACTGTATCCCATAGTGCACCAGAGTAGTTTAACACTCCCGTGTGATTTATGATAATGTATTTCTAGTGGTGTAACCTCTTATAGGTATTGATAATTAATTATTCTTTTCATTACATTAATTTATTTAATAGGGTATCGATTTATCGATTTGCAATGAACGCTACAGTCGTCTCAGTTTAAGAGGTATGTTTATAATAGTAATAATAGTAGTAATGATAACATTAGTTAGTGATAACGATAATTATAACAGTTATTTACACTTCGTTTATTTATACGTAATCTATTCATACTTATAAGTAGTATCTCGTGTATTTTGTTCAATTGTGAAGGTCAGTTTTAATTTAGTCTGTTGGAGATTTGTGTGGAGTATATGGAGTATCTGCTGGATATATACAGCAGCAAGGGTAAACAAATACATATATATGTATATAATATGGATTACATCAAGGTCTTATCATATTGTACGTTTAAACAATTTACTGATTGACGAATACACACAGGCAATAAAAGCTATATTGAATTTATTGATATAAATGATTGATTTTTTTTATTGTTTAAGCTTCTATTCTTCTTGAAAACAGTAGTAACGATATGACAAAAACAATAACAACAACAGGAGTGTAAAGATTGAGAAATATATAAGTTCTATAGTTTGGTTTGTAAGGGTTAGTTTTGTTTTTACGAGTTTATCACGGATTGATATCAGTTAGAGAACCATTGAAAAACCAGCACTGGATAACTGGACAGCTGTTTCATCCTAGTTTGGGGATCATCGGGAGTACGCACCCACTGACACGGTTCAAACCCAGGATCTTCCGGTTACAAGGCAAGCTCGTATGCCATTCATTTGGGGTCGTGCTAAATCACGAATTGTTAGAAGTTAGAATCCATAGACTGGCTATTGAATCGGGTCCCGGTGACTGAATGGTATACGAGCTAGCTTGCCTTGTAACCGGAAGGTCCTGGATTCGAGCTCTGTCAGTGGGTGCTTACTTCCGATGATTTCCAAACTAGTGGGATGAAACAGCTGTCCAGTTATCCAGTGCTGGTTTTCAATGCTTCTCTAACTGATATCAATCTGTCATCAACTCGTAAAAGTAATAAGATATTGCCGATTGAGTGTCTGAAGGGTAGAAACGTTTTAATTACAGTCGTCTTATTGCAACTGATTTGAATGATGTGACTATTCAGCTTAATTTCTACTGTTATTATTTTTGTTATTCCCTTAAGTTCCGAGTGAAGCTTAGAGCTACGGGAGAACATCTTCATTTCACCCTGTCCCCTTTAGTTCTGTTTAGCTGCTTGTACAACTGCCCATAGACTCCCATCTCCTCTATGTCACCTTTCAACCTAGGTCCGACCGATTATCCATGCTGAAAATTCCATACTTGTACCAAAAATACAGTGTGGAATCAAGCTGTAATAAAAAAAGTCAATTCTTGTATACGGGTCAGAAACTAGGACAGCGTGCCATGCTACGAAAAGGTTTCCCAAAAAGTTGCAGACTTTTATCAACAGCTGCCTGACTTCGCTGGCTCCATACTGAAGATCAAATGGCCGACCGGCTAGCCAGAAAGAATTAGCAACAAGAAAGTCTGACTGGGAAAAAGCCAACCAAGAGCCGATTGCTCAACAAATATGTAGGAGAAAATGTAGATGGATTGAGCAGATATTGAGAAGACCGTCGAATGACATGCGCATGCAATGCAGACCATCACTCGAGTGGAATCCCAATGTGAAGCGACGAGTAGGTCGTCAGTGCGAGGATGACATGGAAGACATGAGAGATTATGGCCAGTCGTCGACTCAGCTGAGGAGAACAACAGAAAATAGAATAAAGCGGAGATGTGTTACTCAAGCCTTATGTTCCACTCGGAATCTAACGGAATAATAATCATAATAATTCAAGCGATTACAATGATTAAAAACATTATAGATTATTACCCTGGAAAGAACAAGAATTAATTCACATGCATTTTGCTGACTTTATTTGTGTTTGTCGTGCTTCCTTTTTTAGTAGTTTTATTGGAAAAATAATGAGAGAATTTATGTTACGTTATATGATGGCTGCTTCCTTCATACTTTAATCTGTTTTTCTCTTACCCATTCATATTGTTGGTCTGAACGCATCGATCGCAAATAATAATTACCAGTAGCTTAATTATTGATGATAATAATTAACAGATTTCATCATGAATCAACTTCTTGATAGTTAAGGCGACCATTAAAAACTAGGGGGCATGGAACACTTGTTTTTCCATTTATTTGGAACTCTTCAGCAGCTTCCACTCCCGAACCCGGGACCTACTCATTCTGAGGGTAAACTGGTTGACCATTCAGTCCTTAGGATCAGAATTCAACGGCTTGTGAAACGTAACCACTATACTGAAATCGATCGAAATACCTATAAAACTCATAATCTGAGTATATAAACCCTCAAGCTCTTCAGTGGTCAGCTAACTTGGCCTCTTAACCTATAGATCCCTGGTGAGGATGTGGATAGACACCGATGAATTGTCTGGAAATGGGGCAAAACTGCTGACTAGTGCTTCCTGTTTTCCAATGATCTCTAAATGATACTGGTTACTGACGAAATCTCTCTCTCTCTCTCTCTCTATATATATATATATATATATATATATATATTGATTTCCCACAAATTGGAAGATATGCAAGTGAAAAGCAACAAGTTGGCAGAAGAAGCATCAAAGATAGGACTCCAAGTAAACATAGAGAAAAGAGATGTGATGTAGGATTCCTGACCAACACCAACAGCAACAACAAAAACAGACAACAATCATCATAAATGGGAAGGACCTGAAAGAAACAACCTCCTTTACCTTCCTGGGAAGCATCGTTTCAACTACAGGCGGAACTGACGAGGATATCAAAGCAAGGATCAGAGAAGCAAGACAAGCTTTGATTACTCTCAAGTCTGTGTGGAGATCAACAGCACTCAGCATCAAAAATAAGATCCGGATTTTCAACTCCAATGTGGAGTCAGTGCTACTTACTATACGGATCAGAGACTTGGCGCGTCATAAAGAGCATCTCAAACAAACTACAGACCTTCATTAACAGTTGTCTTCGCTCAATACTCAAGATCAGATGGCTAGTCAGAAAGGACCAGCAATAGGGACCTCTGGCAGCACACCAACCAGGAAATGATTGAGAAACAAATAAATAGGAAGAAATGGAGATGGATTGGCCATACTCTGAGGAAACCATCAAGTGACATCACTGGACAAGCCATCGCTCGAGTGGAACCCGAAAGGGAAGCGGCGAGTTGGTCGTCATTGTGAGGGTGACTTGGAGGAGGTCATGTGAAAAGGAGATGAAAACATGTGGGCAGACCTGGACCCAGGTGAAAACTTTAGCAGAAAATCGAACGCAACGGAGGCGTGCAGCTGAAGGCTTATATTCCTCTAGGAATTAAAGGAAATAATAATAATGATATAATATAGGTTGATTTTGTTCCCTAATCAATAAATATTGATCAGCTGTTAGCGCCAGTTCGTTTATGTTTGCATAGTAGTAATGGTAATCACGTTAGTCTAAATTAATTTTTGAATCACAATAAATCATGACTGAACTACTTACTACTGACAACTTCTCTGCATTGTGTATGTGTGTGTGTGTGTTTATGTATGCGTGCGTAACTTAGGTACGTTGTGGCCAACATACAAGTTGAGAAAAGTGGAATTCGACTGATCGAATCAACCCACCCTTCACGTCCCATTTAATGAGTTTGCTTAATGTAAAATATACATATATGTATACGCATATATATATCTCATCAATGCGTAGTAAATCTCTCTCTGTCTGCTTGCATCATGCAAAACTTTTTTATCTAATATACTGCAACTAATTATCGTTGACAGCGCGCTTAATGAATAGAAATTCTGATTTCTTCGTTTCTTTTTTCAACTCGTATTGATTTTTACTAAGGTATAATAAAGGCGTATACGCAGTACTTTTTATGACAACATTACCTTGACACGTGATTAATGAGAAAGTTAAGAGAATGAAATACATCTCCTTGTAGACTTGTCACAATCAGTCATTTCTTCTATTGTTTAGTCAACAATGAGCTGATAGAATAGTATTCAGACAATCCAGTTTTAATGGTGTGCACGTACACACGTACTCAAACCCATGCAGACACAAACACACGTACACATACGCGTGTCATAATCCTATGCAATTGAGTTCAGTTCATAATGAGTTCTCTTCTCTTTTTTTTTCTTTTTTACTCTTTTTCTATATCTTCAGGTATTCGATTGAATCGATTTCATATTGAAACTATGGAGGAGATATTTCGACGTGTGCATTTCAGAGAAATAGATTTAGAACATACATTTTTAGATGAACAGGTAAGGTGTTTTCTTTCATCAGGGTGAGTGGGGTTTTTTCTGTTTTTACAAACATGAAACTAACTAACTAACTCTTCAATTAAATGTTGTATAACTTGTTGTGCTATATTATATTATTTTGCATATTTTGTTTTGATTACTTTGGTAGGTCAGTCTATGTAATGAGGCAAAAATACTATATACACACTATGGTAAGACTATGTCATGTGATTAGTACTGAGAGTTACCGAATTTGAAACGCCTATGAATGCAAAGAACAATAGAAAGTAATTCAGCGAAAAGGCTCTTTGTGGAAAATTTATTTTACTCTACAACTAACTGCGTTTTTATATGCAATTTTTTCGCGAAAGAGGGTAATGGCAAAACTGATGAGTATCTTTGATTGCACACTAGTCAGTAACTAGTGTAATGTGTCTAGTCCTCTCTTCACTGCATACTGAATTCTATCAGTCAAGCTTGCAATGTGACCGCCAGGCTAGGTGGCTTGCCATTACGGTGCACTGTGAATTGTTGGTATTAGATGGTTGGAGGCAATCGGCAGGAAGCCTTGGATCTAGGTTTCGTGCTATTTGGCACTCATGAGCAACATCATCATTAGCTGATGAGTGCTAACTAGCACAAAACCTAGATCCAAGGCTTCCTGCCGATTGCCTCCAACCATCTAATACCAACAATTCACAGTGCACCGTAATGGCAAGCCACCTAGCCTGGCGGTCACATTGCAAGCTTGACTGATAGAATTCAGTATGCAGTGAAGAGAGAACTAGACACATTAGTCTACTTACTGACTAGTGTGCAATCAAAAATATCAAATAGAGTCCTACAGGAGGTCAATCGCGAGCCTGAATAACTCAGTGGTAACGTCTCTGACTGCAGTACTCACTGGGTGACGCGGGTTAGAATCTCAGAAGGGACATGAGTTCCTTCAAGGTTGCGGATACGCCTTGCTGATGAGTGCCAAGTAACGCGAAATCTGCCGATTGCCCCCAACCATCTAATACCAACAAAACTGATGAGTTTTCATAAGCGTAATTGTTAATATTAATCAATACAAAAAGGGGAGTTGAATAATTGTATTGGGTTATGTAAGAAGATAAGGAATTAAATGAATGAGTTGTAATCGCGATCCTTATAGAAACGGGAGAAAATGTGAAATTACGTAAGACTTCGCCGGAAATACAAGAGTTACAAATAAACGAAATCAAGATTTCATCATTAACTGACATCGGTTAAAGGATCATTGGAAAACCTGAGAGTATTGGAAAGCTGTTTCGTTAGCCTAGTTTGGAACTCTTCAGAAGTACGCACATACTGAAGTTCATACTGGCCTAATGGTCTACGAGCTCTACTTGAAACCAGAAGGTCCTGAGTTCTAACCTCGGTAGGTGCGTACTTGAATTCTTACTCCTGCCAGTTCACGACATAGCGCGACCACTTCGCAATGTCTTCCTCGATGAGTTACTGTCCCATCTTCGACCTGCTGTATCCTACTGGTCACGGCTTCCCCCTAGAACCCCAGGTTAACTGCCTGAATAGGGCCAGTCGCTAGTGAGCATCAGATTAATTTTCAAGTATTGGTTTTGTAGGGGTTTTCTTCGTTTGTATGGAGGATTTCACCATGAGTGGTCTACGAGCTCGCCTTGTAACCTGAAGGTCCTGAGTTCGAACCCCGGTGGGTGCATACTGATGAAGAGTCCGAAACTAGGCTGACGAAACAGCTGTCCAGTACTCCCAGGTTTTCCAGTGGTTCTCTAACTGATGTCAGCTCCTGGTGAAATCCTCCATACAACCAAACAAAATCCCTACAAAACCAATACTTCCAGGTTTTTCGGTGATCCTCCTCAAGCCAATGTCTGTTTTATATATATATATATATATATATATATATATATATATATATATATCGATTCATCTTCGTTCAAAAAAGGTGAGACATATTCACATATGCATTTATAATTAGTTAGTTATCAATGCATATTAAACTTTGGTAACTACATATTTCTTATTTTGTGAACAATTGGTGCCGGGTGAAAAAAAATTTTGCAACTACCTTGTGTGTAAAGCCAATTTACAACTCTATTTATGCAAAACGATACTACTTATTTGCATAGAAATAGAAATCGAGATGTTACTGTATATATATATATATATATATATATCCATAGTAAATGTGTGCTACTGGGTTACACTGAAATATGTGTCTCTCAGATACTATATTCAGGTATTAGATGCCAATTACGCTAACCTGTGCATCGGTGACACTGAGGTAGAATGCTCGCCATCCACGCAGGTGATTCCAGGTTCGATTCTCGGCCGACGCACTTCTTTACTTCACGAAGTCAGTAATAAGACTGGTATAGAGGGGAGGTTGGGCATGGGGCTGGCAACCTTATCCCCTAAAAATAAGTACCGTTGGCACCGAAACTTTAAGTTCTCTATCTTGAAGCCGTATGTTCCAGTGGAAATGGAAAAGAATAAAATAATTATTATAATAAATACGCTAATTTAGTTAAATTTTTAAAGATAATTCAAGTATATATATATTTTTCAAATAAACTGTGACTATTCTCCATTGATTTCTATGGGAGAAATATTGACTTCCATGAAAGAAGATACATGTGTGAGATAAAAATATTTTTAAACCTTCTGTAAAATTCTATAAAACGCCAAATTTATGTCCATCATCAGCTCATTGAAGAATGAATAATCTCTAATGTGTACCATTGTAGCGTCGAATAGCTAGCTGTCTGACAAAACAAAATCTCTTCAATGACACGCCAACAGTGTCAGGTAAAACAAAGAGAAGTTATTTTGAAAGAATAAGCATAACGTTACACCTCTCATTCACGAAAAAAAAACAAAGTAGAAAAATAATAAAAAAGAAATACAGCGAAAATTTCGACGAAGACATTTATTTATAAAATAAAAAAAAGATTGAGCAAAGAATCTGCTTTTCGATAATTTCCCAATCTGGCTACACTACAATTGTTAATTGTATGTGTTAAGAGAAGAAGTTCGTACAACCACTTCCCTTACTTACTTCAAGGCCATCATTACTTGATTATCAAATCAACAATTTTCTCCTTCCTTCGAAGCTTTCTATTGGTTATCAATATGGTCTTAACTATCTGTACTTTTCTATAGTATGGTTTGTAAGGGTTAGTTTCTGTTTTTACGAATTGATCACGGATTGATATCAGTTAGATAACCATTGAAGACCAGGGAGTACTGGTTTTTTGACGCAATACAGTATTATATTTTTTATGCATAATAGTACTAACACAAATGCGTTTGAACTGTAATTCCACCGATCTGAACAACTCAAAGTTATTTTTAAAAAATCAATGTTGGTAATAATAATTACGCCTTAAACAGTATATAAAACTGTATATGTAAGTATAGCACATGCAGGTGACGAATTTGTCGAGAAGAAAATTCTTCGCTCAATCTTTCCTTTTATTTTGTCTTCTAAATTATTATTGAATTGCTTCAACTGCGAACATCATCTACACTCATACAACAACAAAAAAACTGGTACTAATCACTTATTCTTATGCTTCTATAGTATTAGATGGTTGGAGGTAATCGGCCACAGGAAGCCTTGCATGACCTAGGTGTCGTGCTAGTTGGCATTCATCAGTCAGCAAAGCATATCTGCAACCTTGAAAGAATTCATGTCCCTTCTGAGATTCTAACCCGCGTCACCCAGTGAGTACTGCAGTCAGAGACGTTACCACTGAGCTATTCGGGCTCGCGGTTGACCTCCTGTAGGTCTGTAGTGGATATATTATTATATATAGTATAGTATATAGTATATTATGCAATAACTTGTCAATACACAGTTAGGTAATATCAGTTGTAGGTATATGTTATAGTGTTGACATATATCCATTGATGAAAACCACATCTATAAATTCCATCTCTTTCTAAACTGGTGCGTATTTAAAACAAGACCGGAAAATTGTTGTTTGGATAAATTCTTCCACCAGGCTCTACAATTATAAATGCATGATTTGTTTATACGGGTTTGACCACGGATTGATATCAGTTAGAGAGTCATTGAAAACTATCACTGGAGTACTGGACAGCCGCTATCATCGTAGTTTTGGGAATCATCGACAGTATGCACCCACTGGTAGGGCTTGAAACCAACACCTTCCATTTACAAGACAACCAAAATTATGTGTTCAAAAGCGTTTTGTCAAACCCCTTTCTTTACCTTGGTCATAATAATGTTCTTTCTAGTTTTTATTTTATTTTACCACTTGAATTCTTTCCACTTCACTTCACATCTTCATTCTTATCGTAATCGTACTCCTAATTTTCAAAATTTTTAGACAACACTTGACATTTTTGTTATAGAACAATCTTTCATATTTTTGTAATTTATCCACTTCAACTCTACCCCTTATAACTCTTATCACATATATACGTACATTGACTGAGCAATTATTTAGTGCTACTTAATAATCTTTTTCTGTAATATAAATACGACTGTACAGCTTGAAAATGAAGTCGTTGAAAAGAAATTTCTTCGCTGAACAAAAACTGTATTTCAATATTGTCAAAATAAATTTTGTGGCCTGATTCTATAGCGTTGTACACCTATGGTTGATGATTTTTCAAGCTTTTCTACTTCAATCGGATTTCTCGGTGATCGATTTTGTAAATTCTGGTTTAATATCACTACTTTGATAAAGCTATTAGCAGCAGCATTAAATAGCGAAACATCAGTAAAGTCAACAACATCGTTTTGTTTTGCATGCATTGGGAAATACGAAAAAACCTTTATTTTAATGAGTATCATGTACCCAATACCCAAATTTTTCAAACTGTTAAAAGTGAACTCGGTTTGGACATGTAAAGCTTACATTCTGTTGACTATAAAAAACATTAGTATTTCACTCTCTTGTCTATTCACAACTTTATCTTATGTTCTGAATGACTGCACATTTGATATACGTCAGTTAATTTGACAATATTGAATAACGAACACCATCACTCCATGTTGTACATACATGTATCCCAAATACAGACAGCTTCCGATATAGTTTTCATATACCTTTAACGGCTATTTTTATTATAATATTCATGGAATAATAATTGTACAGCCTGAGGAAGAATTTTTCGAAACAACAATTGTTCGCTCCAAATCATCTAGTTATGATTACGCTACTCTACGGGGATTTTCAGTTTACTGATGCGTACTTTGTTTTAATAAGTAAATGAATTGAAGGTTTATATTTTAAGTTTTTTTTCCTGAAATGATGAGTGTTATACAGTTTGTGGTTAATTTAGCAAATGTTTTTTGGGGCTCTAGTTTATTATCCGGTCAGAAGCTCGTTAGAAAAGGGGGATGGGGGGTTGCGTTTGGAGCTAGCGAGCCTACCCTGGAAAATCAAACCCAGAAACTTCAGCACACGGAAAAATTATAAAAAGCAAACTTATTCTTCCCTGGATTTGGTGAGACGGAATAACACAGGCTGATGAAAGCCTTCGGGAAGCCAATTAGCTCTTAGAAACCCTACGCTCCACTAGGAATATAATGGAATTATAATAATTCTGCGGCTTATGTAACTTTATTTCTACAACAATGCTCCTATCACTTGATAGTTGGATAATTTATGAATATAGCAACCATTTAATATTGATGTGTTGGTGGTGCTTACCAACCACTTGTGATCCGGGGTTTGAGTCCCCGGTCTATACACTCCTAAACCTCACTTAGACGGTAGTTAGGTTGATAAATAGGGAAAGTTAAGCGTGAAGGCATCAGTCGCAACCCGTGAAAAATAAAACATTGCCACTGAAACTTCAGATCTCAAAGTTTGAATCGTTGTGTTCCACTGGGTGATTGCAGTATTACGTCATCAGATACACACGAAGCGTTGAAAGAAAAGGAACTGTGATTTTGTGCAAATTTGTTGGCATATTAAAAAAAAGTTTTTTGAAGAATAGTTTACAATTATAAACGGAACTTGAAAATGAAACATAGAGGCAGAAAGATAAGCTGCGCATGTTACATAGTGACCATTAATCTTCATGATTCAAAGCAATTAAAACAACAGTAATAAGTCGGAAAGTGAGAAGTAGTACTCAGTTTAAGAGTATGAACAAAGACAACAAATAATACAAGAGGTGTGAAATAACACTGTCTCAAAAATAGTAGCTGAACTGACACAAAATAAAACTAGAATAAACACAAAAGAATATCAAATGGAAAAGGTGAAATTCTATACAATTAAAAAGAAAGTAGTGTTTGCAAAATCACATTCTTAGGAAATCATGATTCTAACATGTCTGTTGTCTGCAACAGAATGCGTATCCTAAATCCGTAGCTGTCCAGTCACCTGACAACTCCAGTAGGTCGAATAAAGCAGCTCAATCTTCAGAAAGAAGACAAAGCAATAAGTTTGACAGGGTGCTTCCACTAAACTCTAATCCTAAACACCATAATTTTGAAAATACGTCTAATCATAAAATTCTAGATACTAGCAGTTTGAACAGACATGAAGGTGTGATGTTAGCTGATGCATAAGAAATCCTGATTAATAAATAAGAATGGATATGTAACCCTAATCAGTAATACTTGGTCAAAGTTCCCAACTGTCTATATCTACTGATGGAGACGTTAAGAAGTTGTTTTACAACTGTTTGCCCACACACACACACATACATACTGTGTTTAAAGTGTTTAACAAAGGTAGATCAATATTTGTAAGCCTGAGGTCAAATTTTGATCACAGTTCATACAATTTTGTTTATTATACTTGTTAATGCTTGTTTTATGACTCATGATTGGACAAAGTTTGTAAAAACAAGAGATGTTCCTTTTATATATAAACCTCTGTTATGTTAATTTCGATTAATTTCCCTGACAAAGTTCGGACCATATTGCCGAAGGAAACGTTGTAATTACTCATTTCGATATCGCTGAAATTTTACAAATATAATTTTTTACAAATGTCTAGTGAAGCTTTGATTAGTATCTATGCCTAACGAACCCTGATAACCGTCAACAACTTAGCCTTAATGTGAAATGCACCTTGTCATACTATATAATTTTCCAGTTTGCAGGCGGTTGTAGGTTCGGTGTTGTTTTTTTTTTCATTGTGTAAGCCATCGATTTGTGATTAGTAACTTTGTTCTTCAGGTCACCTTTTAAACAACTGTTAAGAAATTCTCAAAATCGGATAAAAATAAATATTTTGTTTTTATGAGTTGATCATGGATTAATATCAGTTAGAGCTTGCCTTGTAACCGGAAGGTCTTGGGTTCGAACCCTGGCAGTGGGTGCGTACTGCTGATGATTCCTAAAACTAGGATGATAGCGATTGTCCAGTCCTCGCTGGTTTTCACTGGTTCTCTAACTGATATCAATCCGTGGTCAACTCGTAAGGACAAAACTAACCCTTACAAACCAAACTATAAAAAAATATTTTATTATTGTAATCATTTGACTACTTACCGCTAATTAACTTCACCTGTTTGCGTATAGAATTACAAATCAGCAAAATACTTTGAGAAAGCTATTAGCATTAAATAGCGAAACGTCAGTAAAAACAATCTCGTTTTGTTTTGTTTTTTTTCATTCATCGGGAAATACAAAAAACCTCTATTATAATGAATATCATATACCCAATGCCCAAATTTTTTCAAAATAATAATGGGTTAAATTATGAAATTTAGGTTAAAGATGAGGCAGTAACTCATCGAAGAAGACATTGCGAAGTGGTCGTGCTATGTCATGAATTGGCAGAAGTTCGTCGGTGGCACAGTGGTTAGGACTCTCGCCGACCATGCGCATATGGTCCGAGGTTCGACCCCCTGCCGACGCATACCTGATATCTATTGTCGGCCTGCAAAATTTTGGGCTACCGATATCCATTCTGAAAATTCCATACTTGTACCAAAAATACAGCGTGGAATCAAGCTGTAATCAAAAATAAAAATAAATAAAGTTAGAATTCATGGACTAACCATTGGATCGGGTCCCAGTGAGTGGCTTAATGGTCTACGAACTCGCTAGCTTTGTAATCAGAAGGTGCTGGGTTCGTACCCCAGAGGGTGTGTACTGTTGAAGAGTCATAAACTGGGAAGAAACATTTGTCCAGTACTCCCTGCAAGTTTTCCAATGGTTCTCTAACCTATGACAGCTTATGAAGTGAAGTTAAGAGGAATATTCTTATCTAACCTGTTGCATAGGTATTTTTCCTACTCTACCTGTTCTATTGATTAGTGTTGTATTTTTTTTGTTAATAAAATTGTCACTCCATTGTTCTCTTTAATCTTTTATTCCTTTCTCAGTCTGCATCATCCTTGTTCGATATGCTGTTGCATTATGAAAGTTGTACAGATTTGGGGATTAGCTTAAATTTGGATAGAGCCGTTACTAGTCAAGCATGGAATCGGCTTGTTACTTACATTAGAAAAGTATGTCAATTTAGCTATTGTATTATTCAATGTGAAATTAATGCATAGTATGCAACAATGTGTAATATTATAACATTCATCATATTCTATAAGGTATTATGTATAGAATACTTTCTGAGTACTTTAGTATGTAATTGTTACATTGGCAGTTAACTTTCAACTAGGATTTCTAGTAGCTCTATACCCTGGATCTTGTGCTTGTTTGACAGCATATTTACAAAAGTCACCTTTTCCATCTCGGAGACAAGAACGTGATACATCGCGATAATATTTAGTCCTATTTTTAGTATATCCGTCACATAGAAAACTCATTTATGGAAATTGATCAACACACTAATTATCACTCACTGACTGGTGTGCATATTATAACATAGATTTCTTCACGGACGAATATATGCGCGGGATTATTAAAAACCAAGGAGGATAGGATAGTCGTTTCGTCCTCATATAGGACTTTTCAGAACTGAACCCCTACGACCTCTCTTGAGATCGAATCTGAGACATTTAGGTTACTAGACCAAGTTTGTTGACTATTCAGCTACCTGGATCAGGTGATTGAATTTCAACTTGAATGTCTGGATGGTAAACGAGCTTGGCCTTGTGGCCTGTAAGTTACGGGTTCACTCCCCGAAGGGGTTGTGGGCCCCCGTTGCTGAAAAGTCTACCGAACTAGGACGAGACAGCTGTTCAGTGCTCCCTGGTCTTCAATGGGAATCAATCCAAATCCCTGGTAAAATAGCCATAATCCAGTTCGTGTATCTCAATCAGTCCTACAATTGTCAGTTGTCACCTGAATAACTCAGTGATAAATGGTTGAAATTCCGAGGGATTACTAGAGGACTTTACTCTGCATAGTCCCCTTGTCGATTGCCTTTACTTTAACACCAACAAGATCTAATTTATTTAAATACTTGTGAATTGTTGATTCCAGGGTTTTGTGGATTTTTTGTAATTCAGATATATTGGTTGAGGATAGAAGGCTTGGAGCCTATGTTAGTCCTTTTCTAGTAAATTTCTGTGCTTGTCCAAACCTTTTTGAATGAATCAGTTGAGGTTGCAGACACCACTTCTTCTAGGAGTCGGTTCCAGGAGTTTATGATTCCATGTGAGAACCAGTACTCAACAGCAACATGATTTCTTCTTGGCTTTTGAACTCTCCTGTTATGTCCTCTAAAGTGTTTCGACTTGGTGGGATGGAAAAGAGAGAATAGGTCAGGTCCGTAGGCATTATTTAAAATTTTAAACATTGTCATGAAATCTCCCGTAGGAGAAGAGATTTAAACTGTCTAGTCTTTCCTCGTATGATAAGTCCGTCATGCGGAGAATCATATGCGTTGCCTTCCTTTGGACCCTTTTTAGAATGTGTGAGCCCCTTTTAAGACAAGCACTGGCTGCCTGGTTACAGTTTTCCAATCTTGACCTCACCAGAGATGTTTATAAGGAGGTGGACATATCTTTGGAGATTCTAGTAAATTTTAAGCGAATTACCCATAAGGATCTGAAACTAAGGGCAGCCATCACCCGACAGTGTGCTGTGATTTTTAAATCTTGACTTACTATGACACCTAGATCCAGATAAGTGTGAACTGATGGGAGTTTTATTCCTTCTTGTTCGTCGTAGCTGAGGCTTGTGTGTCCGATGCACTTGATTGCATATTTCGCTACATTGATCGGGAGCATCCATTCTCCGGACCACTCTGACATTTTTTGAGGTCCTCTTGAAACTTAAGCGTATCACTATCTTCTTTCAGCTCTCTCCGGGTTTTTAAGTCATCTGCATATAGGACCATAGGGGAATCGGTGAGCAGAGATAACTCATTCATATACAAAATAAATAGGAGAGGTCTGAGTACCGTGTCTTATAGCACTCCGCTACGCACTGCTGTCTAGGAGGGGAGTTTTGAGTTGTTTCTAATCCAGTTAAGTAACCTTCCTTTGATACCAAGACTTTCCAGCTTCATGAGTAGTCTTGTGGGGAATTTTATCGAAGGCTTTGCTGAAGTCTTTGAAGACGACGACGTCGACGGGTCTTTGTTGTCCCTTGATTTGACCCAGTTTTCTCTTACAGTGTGAGGAGATTTGTATCTGTGAGATGTTTTCTCCGGAAGCCATGCTGTGCTCTGGATAACAAATTGTTGATTTCCAGATATGTCATGATACTTTTCTTGATGATTCTCTCCAATGTCTTGATTAAAGTGCTGGTGAGACTAATAGGCCTATAATGATTATAATGGTGTATTGTCTAATAAACTTGTGTTTACTTTTTGTGTTAATTTTTTCTTTCCTTTTCTTTCCTTTTGTTGTTGTTGTTTCTAGTCATTTGCATTGCGTCATTTCACTTTAAGTCATACACCGTTGGATATTGGAAATTTTCTTGGTTTAAGCTTTTATGGTCTTTGCGTGGAGCGTTTGTCCTTTATTGATTGTAGTCTCTCTGGACCAGGTTTATTTGGCTTAGCTCAATGGTTACGTGTCTTATTGAGTTCATCAAGTCTACATCCACCTGTACGTGATAGATCAACTAGTTCTGGTGGTGGAATGCATAAATATCGTGGATGGAAGCATCGAATGCATTCACATTCTGTGTTTTTCCCTTTACCTAATAAAAATACAACACCACCAACAACAACATCAAGTACTACTACTACAACTACAGCTAATAATAGTACTGGAGCTACTTCTGACACTGCCTCCATTACTTCTCCTGCTTCTGCTGTCGTTGCTGCTACTGCTAGGACAAAGATCACCGGTGATGTACATAAACCATCTGTATGGGAATTAAAATTATGCTTAACAAATAATAAATTAATAGCAACCGATGCTGAAACATTAGTACCGTTAATACGTCATCAGTTACTTGTTCCTGTAATACCTCAAACAAAACTTAACATCATATCGAATAATACCAATCATGACGATTCATCAGATAAATTAATAAATGATTCGTGTAAAAAAATTCCAAAACTTCAGAAATCTAATTCTTTATCATCGCCGTCATCATTATCCTCATCATCATCATTAACGCCAGGCAATAATCTTCCGGTTGGTGGAATTGGCTACCTACATGAACTGGATTTATCTCATAATAATCTTGGTGTAAGTTGTTCTCTGTCTTATTTTTGCTATTATATAAGTTTATTTATTTAAGGAGTGTAACGTCTATTAAAGTGTTTTCAACTTCAGAAAAATTACTCATCCAGTGCTAAGACAAATTCTGTTCACTGTAGATTCAGTGTCGGAACAAACTTCTCCTGTATGCAGAATTCAGGACTTAACATGTAGATCTCCTCGACGGGCAATCTTATCTGATAAAGGGTCAGGCTAGAAAAGAGCTAGCGGCGGTCAAACCAAAACATGACCTCACCAGTCAATGAAACCTACAACAGTTAGTCTAAGCCACGTAGGAAGGTGTAGACTTCCTGATTGAGTTCCTCCGGACGGTAAAAACCAATGAAGGCTGGAAACAATTGGTGATATGGCTCAAAATCGTTCTCAATGGCTGGCGCAGATGCATCCACTCCCTGTGACTTATGATTTCCAATGAAACTATATTGTTCTTCGTTATTACTATTCCTTTGTCTCACACCTCTGTTTACTGTCTGTGTTATGCTTTTCTTGTACTTTCTTCTCTTGGTTTGTGTGCTACATGGAGGGAGTGTGGCGACTTGAACTGGCGCACATTTGAGCAGAGTTCTCTGTCGAAAACAGACAGACAGACAGACTGTGTATGTGGTTCTTTGGCATTCGAATTCCTGCCACCGACGAATACCTAAATCCCGTCTAGCTGGCCTGGCGGTAAGCTCTCTTGGGAAAGAGAGAAGGTTGGGCATTTGAGGCTATCAACCTCGCCCGTTTAAAAAGTGTACCGCCTGCTGCTGTAACTTGAAAACTAGAAGCTTGAAGTCCTTGTATTCCACTCAGGACTTTGTTCAGAGGAGGAATTTTATGTCCAGTTGTCCATCTTGGGGAGACAGATAACGAAATTCATCATACATAGTAAACCTGTTGGTGTGCAGTTTGATGGTAGCAATGACATTTGGCACGATAATTAACGATTTAAATGATTTTGTATATTCATATTCCTGTTAACATATTGTTTCATCCGCTTAGACGCTTATATTTGGTTTTGATCTGTCGACGAAACCTGATTTCTGCTGGGGATAATTGATTTCGTTCAGGAGGACTGATTGGGTAAGGTGTCTAGCTGTCAGGTGTAGATTATCATTATTTTGGTTCCCTAGTAGAATATAGATAGGTCTTAGAAAGTGTAGTGTGCGGCGGTGTGTGCGTGCGTATTTCAGTGTCTGCTGATAGGAATACTACTGTTACTTTTATTATTCTCTTGGCTTCTGAGTGGAAAACGGCTTCAACAGAACATCTCCATTTTGTCCTGTTCTCTGCAGTCGTCTCTAGCTGGCTCCACGATCGTTCATAGGCTTTCATCTCCTCATCATATGATTTTACTATGTTTCTAGTTTACTGGTGTGGGTTTTCCTAGGCGAAGCTTTCTACATAGAGCTAGATCGGAATCTGTTGGTTAGGTGAATCTCAGTCTTTTGTTAATTCGTGGTACAGTGACGTCACTCCATATTGTTATTGGCTCGTAAACGTCCCCACGTCTGACTTGGTTGTCTGAAGGGTAACGTCAGCTCTTCCTCTTATAATTGCTTAGTAATCCATTGCTTAAGGGATAGAATGCCGCTAGAGCTATGGATTTTTCTTTGTTATTATTATTCTTGTTCCCTTGAGTTGCGAGTGGAAAAAACGGCTTCAACTACTTATCTTCACTTTATCCTATTCTTTGCGGTCCTCTATAGATGACCCTTGGGTTGTCTATAGGCTCTCATCTCTTCCTCGAACGATTTCCTCCGTGTCACCCTCGGACAACAGCTCAGCACTCTTCGTTTCCCATGGAGGTCCCACTCGAGGGCGCAATACGCAATGTCATCGGACGGTGTCCTCATCGTGTGTCCGATCCATCTCCATTTTCTTCGCCATATTTGTTGAGCAATAGATTCTTGGTTGGGTCGTGACCTGTCACGTATCCCTGTTTCTTATTCTTTCTGTCAAGCTGTTGACGCAAGTCTGCAGTAGCCTACTGGAAATGCTTTCTTGACGTGGGTGTCAAGTTTCTGATCCATATAGAACAAGAACTGACTTAACATTACTGTTGCGAACGCGAATTCTGTTCTTTTTATGCTGAGTACAGAACATTTTAAAACTGATACTAGAGTGATTTTGGTTTTGAAATCCTACATGTCGCATAATTATTTATTTACTATTATAATTTTCTTTTTTTCTGTTCTTTAAATAGGATGATGGATTAGGCATTCTATGCACTGGGCTACTTCAAGCTTATCGAAATCGTTTACGTGATCGTTCCGCTACACCGAACAATCAAGAGTCTATTGAAAAAGCAGTATCATGCTCCTCCTCGTTAAGCGAATCACTGAATGAATCAGAACTTCAGGAGACAAAACCAGAAACAGCTGACACAAACATTCCACTAATGAAAGTTCGTGGATTGGAACGTTTATCCCTTGTCAATAATAATCTAGGCATACATGGTATGCAATCACTGGCGTTAGTTTTAATGCAAACACCAGAATCTTTGGTGTCATTAATCGGCGGTTTAGTCAGTTTAGACTTAAGCTGTAATATGAATATTGGTGATAAAGGTGTTGAAATTCTAAGTGAAGGTTTAATCCGAAATCATAGCTTGAAAGAATTATATCTTCGATCAATTCGTATGTCGTTTCCAGGTGAGTTATTGTTCACTTGTTTATTATAATTTCTAATGTTACTGTTACTATTATTATCATTACTCATAATAATTGTTTAGCCACTCTTATGGGTAGTTAGTGAAACATATGAGTGTGTTGTATTCATGAAAACAAAATACGTAGACCAGTGAAGAGTTTTTTTTCGGCGAATTCATTTACTTAGCTGTATAATAAGATTCATCGACAAAAATATCAAACCAATAATTCGGAAAAACGAAACTTTAATTACGCCTAAAAAGAAACTCCACATGAACTTGGATTTCAAGGCAGATTTAGCAAGCGATATTCTCAAGAGAAGGATCATATCATCTCTGAGGAGAACATTCTTTGCAGCAATGCTAAGAGTAGTGTTCTCCAGTTGATCTGCAGAAACTTCAAGGACAAGATCCCTCATCTGAGCACTTCTATGTGTATATATCAGTTCACCTGCTGCTGTGGAGCCAGGTACATCGGTCGTTCGACGCGCATCCTGTCCAAGAGGATTCAAGAGCACTATCTGGCATGGTTGCCAAAAGGCAATAGTGGTGCAATAAGGAGTGCGATAAATGAACACCTGGTTAACACTGATCATTCCATTTCAACAAACGCCTCCTTCAAAGTAATCTATAGAGTCAAGAATAACCTATAAAGGCAATACGGTTTCGTCTTCTTTGCATCGATGAAGCTTTGGCCATTCACATAGAAGAACTGGAGCTGTGCATACAAAAGAAGATTACTCAACCACTTCTACTGTCATGGTAACAACTTTTTTGTTTTGTTTTGATTTGATTTGATTTTTTTTAGTTTTGATAATTTAATTTTGTTCCTTTGCCTGTTCTTTAATTGTTTATAATTCTTGTATTCATTCAGAACTCTTACGTAATTTTGTATTATCTACTTTGTTTCTATGTGGATCCTGAGTAAAATTCACTCATCAAACTATTCATATTAGTACATAACTTCTTTTAACAACTGTTTGTGACAACTCATCACCTTTGTTACTACCCTAATTTCATTAATACCTAATTTTCTTGACTTGTATTACTAATCTTCACCTGTTTAGTTAAAATAACCACAACCAATTGTAATTTTGTTTGACAAACTTAATGTACACGTACATACAAAACAACACATATATATTTGCGACTGTACAACTAAGAAAGTGAATTCGCCGAAAAGAGACTCTTCGCTGATCTACGTGTTTTGTTTTCATTAATACCTGGATGGGGATTATCCTTGTGTTGTATTCCTCAAGAGAGTAACGCAGATTACATGTAACGTATAAGTATATATGTACCGCTTGTTTTTATTACTATTTTCGGTTCTGAGTATAACGGCAAAACAGGGGTTCATCAGCTCATCTCCATTTCATCCTGTTCTCCGCAATCCTCTTTAGCTGGTCGCGTCCATACACTTTCCCCTCCTTCATGTCACGTTACACAACATCCAACTCATCGTTTTACAATCTCTGTTCCACTGACGTGTTTGATGTTATTCGGCGGCTGTCTCCTCAGCATGTGTCCATCATTTTGGTCTCCATTTTTTTAGGTGTGTATTTATTGAGCGATAGGTTCTGGGTGTTGGTTCGTTCACAGAGTTAGTTCCTTGTTGCATAATCTTTCTAATCGGCCATCAGCTCCTCAGTATGGAGCCACTGAAGACAGATGTTGATAAACGTCTAAATCCTGTTGGAAATGATATTAAAAAGCGAAGACGTTCAGCGAAGATACTCTTTTCGGCGAATTCATTCGCATAGCTGTACAATCGCATTTATATATAATTATTTGTGTGTGTGTACATGAGATTTGTCAAGTTTAGATAATTGATCAGATAAAACAAGAATAATTAGATATAGAAACAAGGTTAATCAGACAGCAACTAAAGTAAGATTGAGTTAGTTAGCAAGTTAGATGGTGTAATATAATTGACTAACATGTTTCAACTTAGGCCAGGGTAGCAACAGAGGTAATTACAGGTAAAGACTAAGTAGAAGTGAGGTAGATAATAATGCCATTTAAATTAGAACTGAAATTGAGCAAATAAGTTGGATGATGTAACATAAATGACTAGAAATTGAGCTTTGGTCAAGTCAGTAACAGTGGTAGTGAGGTGTAGAAATAAAATCGGGTGGGGGTAGAGAACAAGAAAGTTGGAAATGTAAAATATTACAATTGAGAAGACAAGATAATACTAATGAAGAGACAGAAAAAAAAGATTCGGTAGAATTTACTTGTCGGGTAATGAGATAGATTAAGTCCATTGCAAGTGTAGTGATTGATATTGTCGACACACTGGGAATCAGAAGAAGTCCCATCGGGTTGGTGTAAGTCACTGATTATCCCCATATACAAGAAGGGAGACAAGTCTTCCTGTGATAATCACAGAGGGATTAGCTTGACTAATATAGTATCTAAAGTCTTAGGCTCACTAATCATGCGTAGACTGAGTGGTGCTCGGGAGGCACAAACACGAGAGAGCCAGGCAGGCTTTAGACCAGGAAGAGGGTGTATTGATCATATCTTCACCCTCCGACAGATTCTAGAACATAGGAATTCCTACTGGCGTCCAAAAACATTATATTTCTTGACCTAAAGGCAGCATTCGACTCTGTCGATCGAGAAGTTCTCTGGAGATGCTTGGCTGTAAAGGGAATTCCGAGAAAATATATTGCACTGATTAAGGCACTCTACTCGTACTCATACAGCCAGGTGAGGGCTTACGGCGAGCTGTCATCTCAACTGATGACGACTAGTGGTGTCCGTCAAGGATGCCCATTATCTCCTTTTCTATTCAACTTTATCATAGATGTGTTAATGGACTTAACCCTAAGTGACTTCAGCGACTCAGGGATTGACTTGCTACCAGGGAATAATCTCGTGTAAAGTGGCATAATAAGGTGAGCAACATTGAGGTTAGGCGTAGAGTTCTAGGTAAACAGGGGAAATCAATCGACGAAGTCGTGAAGCTACAAAGACTGAGACGGTTAGGACATGTGTTACGTATGCCAAGCCATCGCCTCCCTCGACGAGCTATGTTAGCGGATATAGGGTCAGGCTGGAAGAAAGCTAGCGGCGGTCAAACAAAAACTTGGCACCAGTCAATGAAATCCACAACAGTTGGTCTAAGCCACGTAGGAAGGTGTAGACTTCTTGACTGATTGGGGTCCTCGGGACGGTAAAAAACCAATGGCTCGAAACAATTGGTGACATGGCTCAAAATTGTTCTCAATGGCTGGCGCAGATGCATCCACTCCCTGTGACTTATGATCTCCAATGAATCTGTTTTGTTCTTCGTTATTACTATTCCTTTGTCTCACACCTCTGCTCACTGTCTCTATTATGCTTTTCTTGTACTTTCTTCTCTTGGTTTGTGTGCTACAAGGAGGTAGTGTGGCGACTTGAACTGGCGCACATTTGAGCAGAGTTCTCTGTCGAAAACAGACAGACAGACAGACAGTCGACACAGTAAGTCTGTGAACCAAACGGAAGAACTGATACCTTAACATTAGTATCGAAAATCTGATATTCGTTCTTTATGCTGAGTAGTAGTGCTAGTAGATTTCTACATTGATTTCAAAGTAGTGAAGTGTCTGTTCTTTTGATCCTGTCTGGTTTCGACATCTTTACTCTTGTAGCCTGACTGAAGTTTAACCGATGCTGCCTAGATAATTGGAAGAGGTTGGTGATCTCCTACAAAGTTTTTCAGTTGATAATGGCTTTTTGTTGTTGTTGATCGTCGGATATCTTCATCACCAACATCTCTTCTCTATGCTCACTAGAAGTCCTACCTTCGCTTTCGAGTTATAGATATTTCCTTTTACAGAGACACCATTTATCATTGTTTAATTTTATCTGTGAATAAATTGACTGAATTGAAATCTTTGTATTCAGATAAAGCAATGAGAAGACGTAATTTGCCTAAATCGTGCGTAATGTATTTGCGCAACACATATCGAACAATATGATCACACACGCGGACTTGTTATCGGAATATATGTGAAATTAATGGAGATTTAAGAGGTAGTACCCAACGAATATGCACTCAAGGAAGACACACTTGATGACGAAGAAGGAATGTTGACACAAACTCTGGTTGATAACAATTATTATCCAGACAAATTCATGAGAAGATATAAAGTAGTCAGAACACCAAGACTCACTCTCCAACTCGCCCCCTAAGAAAGACAGGTACATTAAGCTACCCTATATTGGAAATCATAGCAGCTTCATAACAACGCAAAGATTGAACGCTGCTGATAAAAATACTTTTTATGCAGCTAATATCATAATAGTTGAGAATGTGAAGCCAATATATCCATCTAAACCCTTCGAACATGCGAAAAATGACGTCACATCCCACTGCATTTACCAATTTGAATGTACGTGTGGACACACATACATAGGGAAGACTCATCGATCTCTTCAAGTAACCACTAGCTTCAGAGCATATTCCTAAATGGCTCCAGAAGCAAATAGAATTTTCAGAATCCATTAATGCTAAGAATAGGAGACCTAGCTCCTCTATTGCGAAACATATTATACAGACAGGACATGAAAGTGATGTTAACGCATCTTTTAAACTTATCTATAAAACGTGTTTGGGGCGTATCCTAAAGTTTGTGGAAGCCCTAGCTGGCAATTATAAAGTTTAAACCACCTTTATGCGTTCAAAGCAACAATTGATCATCACACTAAACATTCCTTGGTAAACTTTGTTTTGATACCATAGCATATGTACTATTACCTCAGTTATTTGGTTTTAGTGGTCTTCATTGTTATTTTGACCTTGAATATGTTCTTTTAACTTGACCTAAGTCTATTTTCCCACCTCTTAACTCTTTGCATGGAGGATTTAATCATGAGCTGACATCAGTTAGAGAACCGCTGGAAAACCTGGGAGTATTGGACAGCTGTTTCGTTAGTCTTGTTTGGGACTCCTCATCAGTACGCACCCACCGGGGTTCGAACCGAGGACCTTCTGGTTACAAGGTGAGCTCGTAG